CGTCATAAAAACTATAATAAGCTGAACATTGAGAGCAAGCTGAATCCTGAACAAACACGAAGCTCATGTTTAATATGAGCAACCATCTTTGTAGCAGTGCAAAAGTCAAAAAAAGGACAAGTATAAAAACTATAAAAAATATGAAGTGCATTAGATGAGTATTAAAAGATACACAGTGGGAACCAGAGATGAAGACACACTGATTACTTCACTAGATAGCAACTGTTTGTTTCCTAGGAATGAAAGTCAGCAGTCAAAAGTAATTCAATTCAATTTATATAACACCAAATCCCAAAGTCCTAACAGAGCACTTTACATAGGAAGGTCAAGACCTTAAAACATCATAAACAGACCCAAAAATTCCCTTTCAGGAAGCACTTTTGAGACAGGGAGTGAAAGAACGACGAGCAGAGCCGACTCAGTGTCTAATAAACTCTAATCTCATTAGACCTTTAACAGGCTTCAGCACAGATTTAGACAGTGAGGAGGGAGGAGGAGGTACATGGAAGAAATATAGCAAAAAAGAAAAAAAAAAAAAACTCAGCTGGTGTCAGTGGCTCATAAGAGAAAATTACAGGTGGCTCTAAAATCCCAGCATGCACTGTCCAGAAGGTTGCAACTACTTGCAGACCTGCGTGGGAAATATAGAGGAGGCGAGAGAAAAGTGTGAGCGTGTTGAGAGAGCTGGAATGAACAGACCAAAGCCCTCTTGAAAAATTCCCAGTGGAAAGCAGTAAGTATGTGTTTGCAGTATGTGGGCAGCGTGAGGGTGTAATGAAGGGGTTCAGCCGCGCAGGCAGAGGTCAGCCAGCCGGCCAAGAGGAAAGGCCTCAACAACAATATGATGTCATCAAAGACCGCCAGCGTGACTCATCGACCTCAGACGAGGGAGGTGCACAGGAATTTTAATGACATCTCTCTACATAAGGAACCCATAAACAGCATTCTTTTTCTCTGAAGAAATAAATCCACTACAAAAGAGACAGAACACGCCACAACTTTATTACAAAAATAACTGAGGAACAAAAACGCTTTCCAATGTCCTGTGGGTACCTAGATATTAGACAACTTCCTTCAATCAGCTGAAAATAATACTAAATTAGAAGGCTGCGCTTTGCTTCCTGTGTGTTTAGAATTAATCCTTGAGGACAATATGAGATAACGCCAGGAAGAAAAGGCTATCAAACACACCAGGCCTATAAAAAGGAAAAAGCAGCCCTCATTACCAAAGAAGAGACAACGACCTAATTACATCCCAAAAAGGTCAGGAAAGTATATTGTTTCACTTCACATCAGCTAATCATATAATGACACGCACACACACACACTCATAAAGAAAAACACTCAAATCCTTCATAGCGTACAAAAGATACAAGCATCATTTGTACGCATTTTCCTCCTAAATGTAGCCTCCAAACTGTAGTTAATGCAGAGTGGAGAATTGAATTAAAAATTAACTCTGACAGTTTTATGACAAAGGCAGAAATTATCATGAAAGACAGTCTATTTTTATACTCTCAGTGCAAGCTCAACTCTCCAGAGAGAGACAATGATAGCTGAAGATATTCACTAAAAACTCTCTCCGATTCTTCCCCTCTCTCCTTCCTTTGCTCTGACCCAACTGCTATGACACCTGAACCCTGACCTTTGACTTCCAGACAGATCCAATAGCTTTACTCGCTCTCATGCATAACACAAAACAAAACAAAAACATAGGAGTTATCTGTTCTCAATCCGCATGAACAAAATACTATGTTATACGAGTCAACGAGCGAGAAAGGCAGACAAAACACTCATGTAACGGAGCACCACGGAGGTGAGTCATCAACCTGACTGCGAGGGCCTAGACAACCACAGAGCTACATTCAAGACAAGCCTTTTCAATCCTCTCATCAAAGAAATGCCAGGCTGCCGTGTCAAACAACTGCTGCAACCCCGGAGATGATAAGAGGAGGGGCAGAAAGCCGAAACATTTGTCCCATTTGGTCCTAACGCCTTCACTTAACACTCATCAGTTTCTGTTACTGGTGGCCTTTCCGTTCATGCGCGCGCACTCACACACACACACACACACACACTCTCTACATGTGTCGGTCAGTCACTAGGATCAGACGCGACCCGAAACAAAACCCTGTTGTGCATCTGTCAGGCAGTCCCCAGTCAGAGCCATTCTCTGGCCATATAAGAATTGGAGGTGGAGCTCTCCCTCAGAGGAATGGCACAAGAGCCGCATCAAGCCTTGAAAGATTCCTCTCCCCCCCCCCCCAAAAAAAAAGAAGTGGAACTGAGGGTGTCACCCGGGGGCAGTGAGGCAGCTCAGTCCCCAAGGAGCACCGGCCAGAGATCAGTGAGAGCTTTGATCTCTGGCTTTTATGTTGTGAAAATGTTACACCTGCACTGCCATGTCTTTTCTTGTTCTCTGTTATCAGCACAGAGCCTTAGGAGAGCAGACTTGAGAGAGGTCATTAGTCAATAGTATGACACTGTGAAAAATCTATAGAAGTGCTCAGAAAATAGAAAACCATATTCACAGATGACATGGGCAGCATACCCTCAAAGGGGAATCAGTGTATTAGTTTCGAATGACCATTTCTCGCTCTCCCCCTTTTTTTTGGTAACAAACAGGCTTTTCAGCACTGAGGGGAAATTCCAAAAAGCACAAACAGCTTTGAAATGAGCACAAAAGCTCTGAAGTGATACTTTGGCAAATGAGGCGGGTCCCCCAGTAGCAATTTACAGCAAGGCCTCTGATCTTCATACCTGCATGGCTCGGCAGCTACATTATCAGAGCTTTGACATTCCAGTGATTCTACACAAGACCCTGACATCTTTTCATCTACCCAATCCTCCCTTCGTGGAGACCAGAGCTGTTCAAAGAGGGGCCCACGGGTCTGTCATGGGTGTATTTACAGCATGAAATGTAAAGAATCTAAAGAGAATTTGTTAATTAAAACATATTTTAAAACACACATCACATGTCATTTTATAGTAAATAGGCCTGGGCAGCTTGGAGAAAAGCATAAATAGCATAAATCACAACACATCATGAAGAAAAATTGCATTTTTTTATTTCCCGCTGGATTCTACGAGTGTGAAGGAAAGGGCTGCACAAACTTGTTAAGGAGGCACAGTTATGCTGTTTTACGTTAATTGATAAATAAATACCATGTGTCCACTGTGACAGTGAATAGGGATGTGCTGATCTGATATTGCATATCAGTGACAACACACCAGATCTGTTTTTTATGACACTTTGAGTCAGCAGAAGCAGAGGCATTACAGCGTGCAGGAAGTTTACAACAAAGGATAAAAAGGTTGGAAGTATATTCCAGTATATATTCTTACACCGACAGACTTTCTGTCAGCTCTTTCTCGCTCTCTTTAGGTTTAGTGTAACTCTTGCTGGGAAGCTTTTGCTAAACTTACAACGACATAATACACTGTTGTCAACTCTGTCATTTAATTTCACCTGTCTTTTGACAGCTCTGCTCCACAGATGATGTGTGTTTGTGTGTGAGGAGCAGCAAGGATGACCACTTAGACTGAGAGTGAGTAAAGGAGAAACTAGCACAACTATGAATGACAGCAGTATGAAGCAGCTTAATGACTCTTAACACCAACCTTAAATGTGACCAGTGAAAATAAATTAGGTCAATAACGTGACCATATTTATAAAAAATTTATTTATCTTGGTCCTGTTCTCATTTATCATTTTACTAATCAACACCAATACTTTTACAAGGTTATTACAAAGTAACGTGTAAGTCAAGCTAATGCTCCCCTACAGGTAAAAGATTAATTTCCGCCATCTTCCTCAGAGTGAGAACTTTAGCTGATTAAATTAACACAGGTATCTGATCATTACCTGATGCAGATACCTCAGCATTGTATCGGAACTGAAATGAGTTAAATGTGCACTTGCTTTAAAATAAACAGTCTGTAGCCATCAAATGTAGTTTAAGAAGGTGGTGGTGAAAGTCTGCTCAACTGTAGGCAGAACGTTTTGCTGACTGGTGAATGACATCGAGGACTTCACAACAGCAACCAGACTGCACCGCCAAAATGAGGGTGAGGGGATTGTCTGAGAGTAAACTGATTGCACTGCTGTCTGGGGCAGTCAAATAAATAAAATACATTTTAAAATATACTTGGATAGCCATCCATAGACCTGGGCAGCCCACCCAAATAAAGTCTATGAGCAAGTTTCCTCGTCATAGATAATCCTAGTCCTAGACTAAAAGGAAAAATTCAATGAAGATCCCCATAGAGTAAAGAATTTAGTCTAGGATTAGGTATAATCCATGTCTGGGAATCTGCATGTCAAACACTGAATATGGCATGACACAACAACACATGGCATCTTAGGTTGAACAGCTTATTTTCCCCTTAAAAATGAAACCATCATTAAACTCGTGTTTTCTTAGGCTTAGAGATTGAGAAACAAATGTTGTGTGTGTTGTTTTCACTCTTTCACCGTCATCTGTGTCTCATCAGTGTATCTAAATAAAACTACTGAAACACAGACTCCAAGTCTTTCACAATTTTCTTTCTGCTCTAAATACACTTTACAAGTCCCCTCAGTGTTGCAGATAAAACAACCACCCTGTAGATCCACCCTGAATTTCACAAGCAACACTGCAGCAGGGATCGCAAGAGCAAGGCTGTCTGTGGCATATGACAATGTCAGCAACTAAGAAAGGCCTGCGAGCTCTTCTTACGGGAGTAAGTCCATCTACTGTTGGCATAGAGTGCAGGATCATTTGGTGGCTTAACTATTAACTGCTCTCAATCACTGCCTTCAGTAATGTTGGGCTGCTAGTCAACTGGCTTTGGGATCACCATGATAACCGTTAATCCGCAGCAAGGATTAGAGAGCTAGTAATGCAACATGCTGTTTTTAATCCACACAGATTTTCTCTGTTTTGTTTCAGCTTGACCATAACAATGGGAAACACAGATGTGTACTCACTGAGCCATGCTCAGGTAGTTAATATACTAACCCGGACGAGGGTGCTCTTAGCCTGAGCTCGCTGGGGTTGTGCTCCCGGGGTGCCCTGGTCCCGGGATCCACTTCCATGTGCCCTGGCCATGGCTCCAGATGTACCATTTGTGCAGACTGCCGCCCCAGGGCCAACCCTCCGTGGCCTCTGCTTGATTCCATCCAAGAGCCGCACAAGTAGGATGTTGCTGGGAAGTTCATCCACGGCACACTCCACCAACGTCCGGCACTCTGGGCAGCGCAACTCCCCGCGTGAGCCAAGGATACCTTGGAGGCAACGCCGGCAGAAGGTGTGCTGACAAGGAAGAACCTTTGCCGAGGCATCTAGCCGCTCGAGACAAACGGGGCACTCGAGCAAATCCAACAACACGGACTCGTCCATTCTCTGTGTGTTCTGCCTCTAATTCAGCAGAAAAACATGATGCTGATAAGGTTTTTGTTTGGAAGCACATCAAGTACTGTCACGTCACTCCCATGCCTCGGCTATTGCCATGGCACCTGCATCAGCTGTAAAAAAAACAAAACAATAATAATAAAAAAAGGAAAAAAGAAAAAGGTCAAGACATTCATATTTATCAACTGTATACACAAGAAATAGGTCATGGCATACATATTTAACAGGCAACGCAGATGGCTGTAACAACTCTAACAATCACGAGATAATGACTTAAATTTTAACACAAACATCCACAAAGTTTGTCACATAGTTCTCAGTGAATATTGATTCAAAGTACTTTTTACTGGGAATGCAAACTCCTACTATGAACTGAACTGTGGTTTTGGAAACCCCTTACATGCTTACATATGGCTAAAGCTGTATTGTGTTGCTTCATAATTTGAGCATCAAGCCATGACAAACCAAAACCAGTTCCAAAAAAGTCCAGTCCACTGGTATTGCATTCATCCAAGCTTATCACTTCTGACAGCTGCACACTGCAGAGCAGTGAAGTCAAACTCAGGGCAGCAGAGCTTCTGCACACCTGAGAATTTCAAGTCCTTTTTCTACTTTCTATAAACAATGTGTTCAGATTTGGAAAAGATAAAGCAGCTGGATATTTGTGTAAGCTTACTTTGTTTCTGCACACAGAAAACTGATCATGGATCAATAAGGATCAAGAAGAATGGATAACAGCACTGATTCCAATAAAATGCCATCCATCTTACAGGACTGGTCTCCAGCAGCTCATGTCTCTCATATTGAGAATTATATCATGTCTATAACAGTGTTCTTAGTAAAGCCAAAGAGGAGAACCGTTTCTTCTGATAAGAACCTTAGTGTCTCTAATAGCAACTGCAAATCAAAAGACCTATTTTAAAGGCTATTTATACGCAATGCAAGTTTACCAAGGTTACTGCATGTAAGGATGAAGATGTCTCCATTTAGAGCATACTAAACACTTCTGTTTACTGCACACTTGAAGGCAAAGTATCGAAAAACAAGCCTAGGGAGACTTCAAATGGATTATAATGAGATTATTACGGAGGAGACCTCGATTTTTTAGAGCAACAGAAATGTTTGTGGCTCCAGGAGTCAATACTTTAAAGCTGTTTTAAGAAACCTCATGCATAAATTTATCGGCGAGCTTAGTGCCTCTGAAAATGAAATCATGGTGGGCTTATAAAGTCTAAGATTTAGTACCAATCCATGGCATGGAGACACTGCTGCATGTGTCTTTCTATAAGAGATCTACACCCTATTTTTTCCGTGTTTTTAAAATGGGGTTTCTTCGTTTTGTTTTATATCTGCACTGTAATGCAGAATGAATTGCCGCACTAAAACCTAACATGCATAAGAGAGTTGTTGCTAAATCTCGCAAAAACATTAAAAGGAAAAAAAGAACAGTTTTAAGGTCTATCATTAGATTACCTAGCGGGGGACAGGAGGCCAAGTTAATCTCATTTACTCGACAGCGGATAATTACACCTGGCAAGTGTGATCTTGGATCCTCGGACCCTTTAAACTGACTGTACGGTTAACACCGCCGAGCCAGACACAAAAAAAGAGAAACCTGCAGCAGCGGTGAAGCACTGAAGTGCAGTGATTTGTGTTTAAAGAGCGGAATCATGCAGGAGGATTCACACACGACTAAGTAAACCTGGTTAAAAAAAAACAAATCCTAATAACACAACAAACTTTAATTATTAATCCTATTTTTTTTTTTCTTTTTTTAAAATGACAAAATCTTACGCTTATACCGCAACATTGTAACAAAAAACGAAAACATTACATAACGACGCTAAACAGTAACTAATTATTCTTATGCTACTTTCTTTCGAGGTGGATTATTCTCGAACTGAACTACAAAAAAGAAAATTAAACTAAGTTTGTTAGCAAGTATCGCTTCATAACAAGGAGGCTGCTTTAACGTCGTCCCCCCTTAAAAAATACCCAACAAACAGTTAAGTTTGCGCACTTGGAAAATAAAGAGTTTTAACAACTTTAAGACACAAACAAATATATTTATAACACTCCTAAGTACTTCAACTACTATTATTATGTAATTCAGCTTACCTCTTCCAGAACAGGACTCCTCCTCTTGTTGCTCTGTATCTCCCGTAATTTTTTTTTTGCCTCCTTGCTAGTTAGCAAGCCTTCTCAGATATCTACAAACCACTTCTCTGTGAGTATCCAGCAGGCAAATGCTGCCGTTTTTACCCAGACAGGTTTTGTTTAGAGGCGCACACCGCGCAGGAATCGCAGACCTCTATCAGATAGTGGAGTAAAACCTGACACGAGAAACACAATACAAGAGAGACAACGGAACTCCAGCCTCACCGAGCGCCATGCTGGTACTTCTGCTCTGCGGGACTGCTGCTGGAACAAGCCGAGAGGGGGAGGGAGCGAGGTGGCCTTCCGGTGCTGTCGGAAATGGGAACATTATGGAGGCTCAATGCACAATAAAAGTAGATGGAAGTAGGAAAATACACATCTTAAAGGTGATATAGCCGATATATAACTGGGAAAAAGTATTCCCATTAAGGTGACCAGATTCCAACAAAATTTAAAGCCAGGGGCTTTTGCAGGATTTCTTTTTCCACTGAAGGGACCAATAACGAGGCAGGGGCGTGATAATTCTACAAACTGTCAGGGCAAAAATTCCCAGGGGGCCCCTTCATCCAGCCTTCACTGCCATTACTTTATAAATATTCTGAAAACAGCAAAAAACGAAATGAAAAAAAAAAAACAGTCTGTGAATGTAACTCTGTTACGGCACAGCTGCCAGAGTCAGACAGCAAAGCAAGGTAAGATTTAGGCAGCATTTAGGTGCTAGATTTCTCCACTCTCTCTTTTTCTTCTTTCTTTTTCACTTTCAAAACAATAACGTCTTTTCATTTTCACTTAGTGACTGTCATTGCTTTCATAAGGTTTGTTTAAACAGAATTGTTATTGCCACTTACAGGGACTCAGGTGTGCCCCCTCAGGGAGGTTAGGAATCTCAGACTATCACTGCAAACCTTTCACTACTGGCCTGGTGCCCAAAACAACAAGCAAGCCTTGCATTGCTTGGTTGCCTTTTAGCACATCCTGAGTTATCCTCTTTCATGAAACTTAAACTTACAAAATTTACTACATTAATTTAGTGTTTTATTTAATGTTTTTATGGAACAGAGTACACCACTGTGTGAGTGAGGAAATTTGACTTTTACCAAAAATACCTTGAGTTAGAGCAGAAAAGCACTATATAGCTACCAGTATTTTTGTAGAAAGCATGGATAGATTATCAGGCTAAAAAAATATTAAAAAATAAACTTAAAATAAGTAGATTAATGCAGCATGCATGATCAAAAATAATGATTCTTTAAAATGTAAATCACTCCAGCGTTGCAGCTGGATTCAAAAGATTCAGCAAATAACATTAAAAAAAAAGATAACTAAAGCTTTAAAACAATTGTAATGAAGTGTAATGAAGTACACCATTTAGAAGCAGAAGTAGATAGTGATGTAAATTGCCTCATATAACTAATTTTATACCGCTATTTGTGTTTTAATATCACGTTTCTAACAATCATCGGCTGCTTCAGGATTACTACAACGTAAGCAGTAAATTTCCGAGGTGCACTAGAAGGCAGCACCACTCGTTATCAAAAGGGCGTGAACTGAATCGTATAATGAGCTGTAATGATGTGTCAAAAAGCAGCATCTTTTCCCAGACAGAGTGCATAATAACTCATTTTTTCATTTCACCCCCTTTCACCCCTGTGGGCATGTTTGGCTGAAAGTCGAGTTTAATCGCATAACATCTTAAATTATACCAAAATATGTTGTTGTTTTTCTGTTCAGTTACAATTTTCCAACATTAGGAACCCCTGTTCTGTCATGCAGCAATAACGGGTGAAACACTTTTACCTTTCTTTTGGCTAAGGGATGTCTGGAGAGTTATACAGGGACATCTACTGGTCGCGTTTTCACTATTTTCAAGTAGATCCAACCAGATTTATCCAACTACTTTTACTTCAGGAGCACATACAATCCACTTTGATCTCAATTGGTCAGCATAAATATGAAAAGCCCTGCTCCTCTGAATGTCTAATATCTTTAAAAATGTGAATAAATATTCTGGAAATTTCACATTCAATGTGCCAACAACAGACGGATAACAGCTTTCACTCGTTTGTTTTAGTTCTCAGCAAGTCTCACAAACATCTCGTTGGAGAATCTCCCCCAGATTTGATGGTCATCTGGTATGGACGTCAGTTGTAAGTGGGATTCAGTATCTAATATTCACTTTGGTCTTCTGAAGGTGGTTCTTCACCAAAATGTGTGATGTGTGTTTTGGATTGTTGTCTTGTTGGAAGATAAACTGATGACCAAGACCCAGTTTTGTTGCTGACTATTTGAGGTTTTCTTTCAGAATCTTAACTTCATCTTATCTTCTTTCTTCATGATTCCTTCCACCTTGAAGAGATTCACAGTTCCAGACACATTGAAGCATCCACACAATGAAACGCTCCCACCACCAAAGAGCCAAATGGCCAAAGAGCTTGAGTTTTGTCTTGTATGACTAAAGGATGTGCTTGCAGTATTCATAATCTTTTTCTAGATTGTCCTTAGCAAACTTCAGAGTGGCTTGAAGTGGATTTCTCCAGTCCTCACAGTCATTCCTGTGCAGGGTCATTGTCTTATTTGAGGCTACAATTCCTGACTTAACTAATTAACTCGTGAGTGTCTTGGCAGTCGTTGTGGGATCTTTAGACACATGTCTCACTACTTTCCTTTCTACAGTCTTAGAAATCTTTTGTCTCCTATCTCTGCCAGGGTTGTCAGTGTGAATAAAGGCACAAACCCTTCACATGCAGAGTTTTCGTAAACAACAACAGTAATTTATATCTTTATAATTCAAACAAATTGTCTAAATGTAAAAATAGTTTTTATTGTAATGTTGGCACTTCATCCCGACATGGGGTAGAGCAATTTAACTCAAAAACACTGAATAATTAATTTCTTTATTGCATTTTTCACACTTTACAAAGCCATCTAATGGGCCGAACTGGAGTCCCCGGTGGGCTGGTTCTGTCCCCCGGGCTGCATGTTTGACGGCTCTGTTTTAACTTTTATGTAAAATACTTTTTCGTCTTGACCTGAAGTTCTGATGCTTCTGTAGTTTTATGACACTGGGATTATATTATCCTATCTTTTCTTGAGGCAAAGGCAAACTGATGGAGCCATCACTGAGTCATATAAAAGAAAAAAGGCGAAAGGGAGGACTTATCTCCAGAGGTGCTGCTTTAACCATTTATTATAAGATGTACATTTGAAATGGACCTTTGACTCGTGATAACCTTCTCTGCAAACATAGAACTACTCGAGGGAGAGGAGAGCAAGCGAGACACAGCCAGACAATAAACATGTGATTTATTTTTATCTTTTGGAGGACACTGTATATTGAGCAAGAGGGAGAGATGAAGGCGAGGGAGAAAAAAGGCAATAAAGAAAAGAGATTTATTCAGAGGTGGCGCTCCTCTGTCACATGCAATCCCACGGGAGCTGGTAGAAGCCCGCAGGTCATATTTCCTCGCCGTAAGGAGGCTGCACTCTGCCCCTCCACCTCCTCCCAGACAATAGCCCCTGCCCCTCCTTTTCAGCTTGACTCCTGTGCATTACCACACACTCGCATTCAGAGACATTAAATAATGTTATTCGGAAAGACAACGGGAATGATTTGTACACGCGGAAAGGCAATAATCCTCCATAATGACTGCACCTGAGGGCAGAAAAAAACCCCATCACTGCACACACACATGCAGAGCTGCACACGATGAAGGGGACAGCTGTGCTTATACTTGCTGCTTACTGCTTACTGCTTATAAATGGAAACGAGGAAAGCAGCAGAGGACATGACAAGACATATGTCCCAATTTCCACGAAAGGATGGGCCTTGACAGAAATATTGCTCTCTCTTGTACAGTCCATTACTGTAAATAAATGTGCGAGACACAAAGTATTGAAATACAGCCAATACCAGAGAGGAAAGCCATTTTTTTATTGGCAAGCACAGATTATAGAGCTGTTATATGTAGTGTTGCTCACCAGTTGACATTTCACTGTCTTAATTGAAAGCAGCCCAAACGCTTTAAGCCTAATGTGCTCCTAAGATCAGGACTCTCACATCCAGTGATCTTCATTTGTATTACTTTGATGAGGCTTTCAAACTTACTAACTCAGCCTGAGGCAACCTGCTTTCAAATTAGATTAGGCATCGTAAACTCAATGTCAACGAACGCTGCATGATAATGCTTAAGCGCATATGTTTCTCTGTGGGGTGATTTTTCCTCTTTTCATGCTTGGATCAAGGAGGCCCTATGGAAAATTCCGAGAAGAATTAAGTTCATTACATCCTCACTATAATGTCGGGGGCTTTGCGTGGGAGGGACTGAAACTATATAGCTCATTTATTTAACTCTGTTCATGTTTTTATCCAGTGTGGGGCGATGGGGAGACGGGAGAGGCAGGGCACACCTTGGATAGGTCACGAGTCTATCACAGGGCTAACTCAGAAACACAGAC